GTCATAGATAGTGATTTCTCTGATGGATCTGGGCAAAGTAAGTTGAAAACCTGTAAGGGATTCACCATTCTAGATGTCATCAAGAACATTCCTGATTCATGGGAAAAGGTGGAAATGTCCACGTTAACAGGAGTTTGGAAGAAGTTGATTCCAACCCTCATGGAGGTCTTTGAGGGGTTCAAGTCTTTAGCAGAGAGAGAAAACTGCAGATGTGGTGGAAAGAGGAAGAGAACTAGAATCAGAAGTGGAGCCTGAAGATGGGACTGAATTGCTCCCATCTTACATCCAAACTTTCATGGATGAGGTGTTGCTTCTTACAGATGAGCAAAGAAGTGGTTTCTTGAAATGGAATGTATTCCTGTTAAAGCTACTGTGAAGACTGTTGCAGTGACAGCAAAGGATTTAGAATATGACATCAACTTAGTTGATGAAACACTGTCAGGGTTTCAGAGGACTGACTCCAATTTTGGAAGAAGTTCTACTGTGGGTAAAATGCTATAAAACAGCATCCCATGCTATAAAAAAAAATAAAAATAAAAAAACTCCTAAAAGGAAGAGTCAACTGATGTGGCAAACTTCACTGTTGTCTTTTTTTTTTTTTTTTTAAGATTTTATTTATTTATTTGACAGAGAGAGAACACAAGCAGGGGGAGCAGCAGAGGGAGAGGGAGAAGCAGACTCCCCGCTGAGCAGGGAGCCCCACACGGGGCTCAATCCCAGTACGCTGGGATCATGACCTGAGCCGAAGGCAGACGCTTAACTGACTGAGCCACTCAGGTGCCCCTCACTGTTGTCTTACTTTAAGAAACGGCCACAGCCACCCCAACCTTCAGCAGCCACCCCCTCGATCCATCAACACTGAGGCAAGACCCTCCACCATCTCTAAAAGATTGCATTACTCTCTGAAAGTTCAGATTATAGTTAGCATTCTTTAGCAATATGTTTTGATTAAGGTATGTACATTGTTTTTTAAGACATAATGCTATTATTCACTTAATAGACTATAGCATAGTGTAAACGTAACTTTCATGTGCACTGGGAAACAAAAACCTTCATTTGACTCGCTTTATTGCCGTGGTCTGGAACCGAACCTGCCTGTAATGCTTTAATCTGCTCTCCTCAGCAACACATCTGCAGAGCTGCAAAATTCTGTGAGGGCGCGCCACTCCCTGAGTAAGGTGTAAATGGCGCCCTCTGCAGGTGCTTGGAATAGGAAACAGCAATTAATGGTCACTTGAGGCCGTTCTAAGGTCGGAATGGAAAGCTGGAATTTCTTTGCTTTACCATTGTTTGGGCTTTTAAGGCAACAGCCAAAGAGCATATTAGGAAAGCTTCAGTTGAAGAAGTCACATCATAACAAATAAATTTTTGTTCCTTTTGAAAGGGCTGTGGAAAATGGGACCAGAAATGCTCCCTATCAGTGCTACTCGAAGTGTGGTCTGAAGGTCAGCACCCTCTCCTGGAAACTTGTTAGAAATGTATATTCAACCTATTGAATCAGAAATTGTGGAGTGGGGGACCCAGGTATCTCTGTTTTACTCTCCGGGGGATTCTTTGTCCCATACAGTCCTGGTCGGTTACCCCTTCCAGAGTTAACCAAAGTTGAATCCCAACCACGGGGTGAAACGGACATTGCTCCACATACTGATTCCTGTGGGTAAATAAAAATTCATCTGAACTCCAGAAGAGGGGTGTGTGTGTGTGTGTGTGTGTGTGTGTGTGTGTGTGTGTGTTAGGGGAGGAAAGGACTTTTGTAGAAAAGGGCGAGAGCTGGTAACAACGGAGCCAGGCCCTGGGACGGCTCTGTTCTGCACCCATCCCTCACCATTCCTTGCAGTCGCATTATTTCTTTTGTTTTCCCCGCCCCTGTTTGTTGGTTTCTCATCTTAGGACAGTGCAGTTTGCAGAGCAATAAGGGGGCATTTCCTGGGGACGTGCGTATTTTTATTCTTCTGGAAAAGAACTGGAATAATGTATTCATTTTAAAAACTAGGAAACCCTGGGGTGCCTGGTTGACTCAGTCGTTAAGCATCTGCCTTCGGCTCAGGTCATGATCCCAGGGTCCTGGGATCGAGTCCCGCATCGGGCTCCCTGCTCCGCGGGAAGCCTGCTTCTCCCTCTCCCCCTCCCCCTGCTTGTGTTCCCTCTCTCGGTGTCTCTCTCTCTGCCAAATAAATAAATAAAATCTTTAAAAACAAAAACAAAAACTAGGAAACCCTGGCACGTCTTTGAAAGGCAGACAAAAGTAATCATCCCTCCTGCTTATAACACAGCACTCCAAACCAGGTTTAATTATGTGTTTTAGAAGGAAAGTGGAGCTGAATGAAAACCTAGTCATTAACAAGGAGAATCTGAAGGAACTCCATGGCAGAATGCTCCAAAAACAAAAGACCTGGGAAATAAATCTGTCTTTGGAGTAAACATTAATTTCCATGAAATTGGTCAATTTACATGACAGGACCATAATATATTTCTAAAGCTGTTTTGATTGACAACCCAGATGAACAATTCCTGGGTCTTGCCCACCATCCTCGCTCCAAGAAGAATTCTGACAAGCTTGGTCTCTGAAGCCTTCCTGGAGGCCGGAAACTCATCTGAGTCTAGTCCACGCCTCCTACATTATTTGCCCTTACATTAATCTCTGCTCTTGGGAAGAATGATTCTTAGGCCTCAACATGAACCTGGATTTGCTCAGTGCAATTTGCAGTTCTCCATATAATATAGTCTGCTCTTATAACATTATTCTGAAGCTCAAACTAACAGACCCAGGCCATGGCCTAAGAGGGCACATCTGGCTTTTTTGGAGAATGTGAGCTGGTCTGCCCTCTGTCCAACCATAGGTATACGTCCAAGGCATACACCTGTAGAATCCTAGGGGCGGGAAATGTGTTGTGTGAACATTTCAAAAACTCACTGATTCAAACAACATCACTATTTCTGAAGCTCAGTTTTTTCTCTTGGTTGGTTTAAACGTTAAACAATTAAATAGATTCAAAACTGCATTCATTTTCACTTCTGCATTTGGGGTTAGAATGAAATAGTATCAATACGATATTTCTAGTTTGGGGGATGGGGAGAATGGTTCACACTATTACCATTCTCCTTCTTCTCGTTGTTGCTAGAACAACCCCTGTGTTACCCAGCACACTTCCAGAATAGGGCATTCTCTTTAACCAAAAGTTATGGCTAGAAGAAAGCAATCAAATCTGGAATACAATCACTTTTTTAAAATAAAAATTTGGTGAATAACATGACACCCAATCTATACTAAGTATAATTTAATGTTTTTTAGTATTCATACGTAATATGAGTTGCAGGAACACTCAACTTTTCAAAGCGATCATGAGTTAAATTATCATCGCGTTTTGGATAGGAGGAGGCACCAATTAACAGAATTCTGGTAATAGAATATTAGATAGTAGCACTCTCTCGTACTGCTGCTGGGTGGACTTCACAACAGCCAGAGAACAGAGTTGCCAGCAGGAAATGGAGAAACCAGACACCAGGTAAATTATTCAAGGTACGCAGGTGACTAGCAACCTGCCTGACTCAGGCATGAGTTTCCCAGTTTCATAACATCTAAGCTATGCTAACTCTGAAAAGAATGGTATTGTCTGTCTTTATTCCTCCCTATGAAAAACCAGAAACAATAAGCGACCCAGGCTTCCAGACTCTACTTTAAATCACATTTGTTAGTGCAGGACAGCAATCCCAGATGACATCAGGCGAGGCGTTGAAGCCACCCTGAGCCCTGCTGGGGTGGAGAACCACGGCCCTTGGCCCATGACCAAGGAAGAGGGCCCCACCTGCCTTGTTTGTGGCACCTTGTTTGCTACAGATTAGATCAGGTCCCACAAAAACGGTAGGACACAGGCTAGCCCTCACCTGGGACATTTAAACACAAGTGTTTTACCTCATTTCCATCATTACTTCACCTCCACTGAAACTTAGAGGTGCAGTTTTAGGATTTCCACTTACAAGTGCCTTATTATTTTTAATTGATTAAAAGAATTAGACAGAGGGCCCTCTGTTTTGGAATAGCTCAATGCAAGAAAGGAAAGACTCATCTCCCCGAAGAGGCAGATCTGGTCCCCAGGCCACAGAAGTTGCTGTACTGAATGATTTCTCCTGTTGGACTTCACATGTCCTCCCCGGGTCAGGACCCAGCTCCTCCCCAGCTGCCAGGCCTGTGGTGACCTGTTACCTTAGGCCCCTGGTATTCTGAGCGGCGGCCAGCCCAGCCACACACAGCTGAAGCTCCAGCTGCCAACCGCTTTCTGTTTCTGTGGCTGGCGAGATTCCTGTCCACAGCTGTGACCACTCATTCATTCAGCAAAACGTGCTGAACCGTTACTATGTGGTAGGCAGGGGCCCAGATGTTCCCTGGGTTACCAATCACTTCGGGGTAAGAAATGCCTTCTTACTACTTTCCCCACCCCATGGGCTTCAGGACCAGAGAAAACTAGGATGGAACCCGAGCCCCATCATTCACAAACTGTCCTGCCCTCTTGAGCCTCAGCTCTTCTGCATGTGAAGAAGGTAACGTAAATGTGCCGCAGTGTAAAATGATGTCATACATAAATTAGTCAGCCCAGTGCCTGGACCAGTTTCCCAACTTCAGCACTATGGACACTTTGGAAGGGGGAATCCTTGCTGTGGGGGCTATCTCGTTTATTGTAAGGTACTGAGCAGCAATCCCCGGCCTGGACCCACTAGAGGCCGGTAGCACCTCCAGTTGTGACAACCAAAAAATGTTTGCAGACATCGCCAAATGACCTTTGAGGGACAAAATTCTCCTGGTTGAGAACCATTATGTGAAAATGAAAATAATAATACCTGCCATTACCATCATCATCTGTTGAGAAAGAGCTCACTTCCAGCATGCCATTGAAAATGCAAATTCAAAAAAAATTTTTTTTTAATTAAAAAAAAAAATGCAAATTCTACTTCAAAGGAGAAAAGCAGGTGGGATCCAGAAACGTTAAGGAACTGAACCTTACCCTTACAATGATCCGTTCAGAGATATGGGCAGACAATAGATAGAACTGGTCTTGGTGAGCAGCATACAATCCAACCACCAACATGAAGTATCTAATTCAGAAACAGCAGATCAACACATCATGAAACAGAGACATAATTTGTGCCATCAAATACCACCCAACACTTAACAGTGAATTTATCTAGATAGGTTTACGTATTTAAAGATTTTCTATTCTGTTCTAAGTTGCCCCTCCTGTGAAATGAAAGAGCAGTTGATTCACTCCACATTGTTCTGGGTCCACCCTCTGCCGGGTTGGAGGTATTTGTGAGCTGTTCTGGAAGCCCCACAGCACAGCACTGCTCACAAGCAGATGCACAACAGGCGGCCACCTAAGAGGTCCCTTTGCCCAGAGCCGCCCAAACTACGTACCCTATCCCAGCAGGGCCTGCCCAGCCACACTGGATCCTTCCCACCCTGTCTGCTCCAGTCAAAGACCTCGACCCTCCCCTCTGATTACTCCCAGTGCAATTTTCACCAATGTTACTTCAATTATTTCTTCATATGTAACACCGACGAGGCATTTTTAAGATCAGATCATTTCTTGAAAGTCAAAATAAAACTATCTCTATGAGAGAAGCTTTGGCTTTAAGCACTGCAGGCAAAAACCTTGCCACCTTCCTCTGTAACTCCACAGATTCTCTAATCCTTAAAGAATAAGAGTTCTCCCCCATGTTGAAAGTAAAACAGTAATAATAATATTTGTTATTTTCATTATAATCATTAGCCATCATCTGAGTCCTCAGAATGTGTCATACACTGGGCTAAGCAGTTTATCTACAGTATCTCATTTAGAACCCCAGAACAACCCTACTGGAGAAGGATATAGACATTGTCCCCATTTTACAGAATGGGTTAAGTTACATGCTCGAGGCCACCCAGCTAGCATATGGCAGTATCAAATTTCAAATTCAAGTCTTTCCAACTCCAGCACTTATGTTCTAAAACCAGTGTGCCCAAATTTGAGTATGCATCCAAGTCACCTGGAGGATTTGTTAAAATACAAATTACTGGGCCCCACCCCAGAGTTTTTGCTTCAGTAGGTCTTTGGTGAGGCCTAATAGATTGCACCTCTAGCAAGTGTCCAGGTGACATCATCTCTGCTAGCCTGGGACCACACTATGAGAACCACAGGTTTAAATCCTTAATGCAAGTTCACTTCCTCTTTTAACCAAAAAAGGCGATTGCAGAGCTCCAGGACCCAGGGCTTTGTACTGGTGACGAGCACACAGTTTCGAGCAGGGCGGTGTGACGGTCTGACGGTCCTCAGCCTTTGGACAACAGTGAGGCATAAACGTGTGGTCACTCCAGAGAATCAGGGAGGGAATCAAGGCAGATTTGGGGCTGGACAGGAGAGCAGGCACTGTAGGGGGTGAGGATGGACAAGGAAAGACGCCTACGGGGAAATGAGCTGCGTTAATAAACAGGAAGAGTCTGAGAAGGGGGAAAGGGGCCGCGGGCAGCCTGGTTTGCAGGCTGGTGGGACCAAGAGGAATCTGAGGGGTCTCTGGAGGGCACCAGCTGGTCAGATGGAGTCCCTGGCCACCACGGATGCCAGTACCTCTGGTCAGGATTTGGTTTTCCCTTCTTCCTCATGTTATTCGCTGTTGTCTCAGTGAAGTGCAACCGACCCAGGGTCACTTTGGTGACCTGGTCGGCCAGCAAGTCGACTCTAAAACAGACAGCAGAAATACCAAGACACTGTGAGACAATGCAGACTCTGATCAACTCTAACTCGTTCCAAGATTCTCAGGTGTGTTCAGCCCCCCTCCACCCCCACCCCCCCCGCGGAGGACAGTTTATTCCATGCACCGATTTTTAATAAACTCTCCACAACATGGTCAGGAATGGCTGCCAGGGGATAACTCCAGAAGGGTGAGATCTGCTCTTTCAGCAGAAGCTCTAGCCCAGACTTCCTGCCTCATAAGGGCATGTGCTCCCCACGCCTCGTATGGGTTCTTTGAACTCCACAACGGGGAGAAAAGACTTCGCTTCTGCCGATGTTGCTAGAGCACTTGCCTCCCGACAAGCCATGTCTCTAAGTTGCGCATGAATTCCTTTGCATCCCCTTCACATGTTTGCCCCCTCCTGGCCTGGCTCCTGTGGAAGGCCACACCCAGCCCGCCCCGGCCAGGGAGGACCAGATGCACCAGGCAAGCTCAGTGCTGTGTGTACATGTGGTCTGTTTGGGATTCTCTCTCCCTCTGCCCCTCCCCCTGCACTCTCTCTCTCTCTCTCTCTCTCTCATGAATAAATAAATCTTTAAAAAAATAATAATGACTTAAAATGAGCTTTTTACAAGAATTTGCTTGAAATTATTTCAATGCATTTTACCTTTGTTTTTGCTGATATGCATGTATTCAGAATATTAGCATATTACTAATGTAGTTTCTGCAGTGGGATTCATTTTATTTTTTATTTATTTTTTAATTGAAGTATAGTCGACATATAATGTTACAGTAGTTTCAGGTGTACGACATAGAGATTCATCAACTCTACGCTCACCACAAGGGCAGCTCCCATCTGTCACCACACAGCATCATTACAATACCATTGACTCTGTTCCCCGTGCTGTACCTTTCATCCCTGTGACTTATTCATTCTATAACTGGAAGCCTCTACCTCCCACTCCCCTGTACCCATTTTACCCCTGCCCCAACCCGTCCTGTCTGGCAACCATCAATTTGTTCTCTACATTAATAGGTCTGTTTCTGCTTTTTTGGTGTGTGTATTTATTTGTTCATCTGTTTTGTTTTTTAAATTCCACATATAAGTGAAATCATATGGTCAACGGGATTCATTTTTCATAAAATAAATTAGGCAATAGGTCTTTCTCCTAATACATTCACAAAGGAATTCAGAAAAGAAATTCTTACTTAACAGGATTGAAAATCTTTTTGCTTCTATCTGCTTGGGATTGCTCAATAGCAATTATTTGATTGGTGGCTTCTACCTGTGTGGAACAACAAAAAGTAAGTTAGTTACCAAATACATAAGTTAATTTGTTAATAAACACCGTTCATTATTAAATAACGTTCAGGCACTTTAAAAGTTTTCCAAGGCATCATGATAGGCACTGGGCAGGAGGAACAAGTCACTGAAAAGATGTATAAGACAATGACCCCAACCTTAAGGAGTATGTTATTGGTGAGAAAAGAAACAAATACGTGTAAAACTAAACAATGAAAACACAAGACAACAGAAAACTGCAGGTGAGCAGGGAATATGGCATGAGCTCGTAGGTGATTAAAGCATCAGGAGCAAAACACAGAGGCAAGGCAGCTCCAAGGGTACATGCATCTATCCATCCATTTATTCATTCATTCCATAGACACGTGCTGAGCACCTGCACCTGCTCGGCACCAGGGACTGCCCAAGGCATTAGAGATGAGAAGTGGACAAAATTAACAGAAACCCCAGCCCTTGCAGAGCTAATATTCTAATAAGAAGAAATAACAATATACAATGAAAATAAATAAAATACGGAGAATGGCCTTTTTTTCAGTACTTGCTACAAAACTCTTCTTGCTCTGAATGAACAGTGGCAAGGGTGTGGTGAGATCTGCCCTGTCATATATGGCTTGTGGATAATAGCATAACGACAATTTTTCTGAAAAGCAGCTGGGCAACATACATCAAGAGTTTTAATTATGTTCATGCCTTTGATATATAAATTCTTCTGGAATGTATCCTCATGCAAAGACAGATAGATGTACATGGATGTTTACTGAAGTTTATTAACAATAAAAAACTGAAAATAAGCAAAACTTATAATAATGCAGGAATATGGTACATTTATCCAATAGAAACTATGTCATCTTTGTAAACAATATTTTATAGGGTCTTTAATAATATCATGTTATTTTCATAATATACTATTAACAATATGAGATTAATTTTAATAAAAGAAAAAAATTAGACTACCAAAAGGTGGATCCCAAATATGAATGAATTTTTTCTCTTCTTTATAGTTTTCTACTGTATTCCAAAATATTCACAATGGATTCATATTACTTCCATAATCAGAAAAATATGTTTTGTTGTTTGTTTATTTGTTTATCTGTGTTTGCTTTTGTTTTGTTTTGGTTTGGTTTGGTTTAAGAGCTCAGTTTGGAGCAAGAGCAGCTGAGGTGTCAAGGTATCAAGCCCTATTTTGGGAGACTCACTGCCTAAGCTCAGGTTAATAATCAGAATAAAATACGGATGCTCCTCCCCCTAAATGCTGGATCTGAGGTAATAAGTTAACAAATCCTTGTTGACCACTCAGAATTCATCCTACCTGCATTCTAAACTCAGCTCTCTCATGTACGTATCTTGGATGAACTGTCTAACTTTACCGTGACTCAGTCTCCCCTCTGTTTAATAGCTCCTTGGCTTTTTTAGGTCAGAGACCTATTTGAGAATTTGGCAAAAACTACAAATCTACTGCATATGAAAATGCACCAGCATCAAAAAGAATAAAATATTACAGTTACTAAAAGAAGTGCAAGATTTATATAGTGAAAACTATCAAAATATAGTTTGAAGTGATGCTATACCAGTTTCTGAGCCAGTTTCAGGCTTAAGAAATTGGCAGCTCCCGCTTCCTATGTCTTGGAACATTTATTCTTAGAACCTATCCACCATGCCGTGAGGAAGCACAACCTATCCCACAGAGAGGGACTTCTCATAAAGAAGAGCCAAGGCCTCCCAGCCATAGTCTCATTTGAGCTCCTGGCCAATGGCCAGCCCAAACTTGACAGGCATATACATGAGCCATCTTGGAAACTGGATCCAGGCCCCAGCTGATGACTCCTGTAGAGACATGAACTGTAAGAGCCAACCCCTAACCAACCTGCACATTTGTGACCCAAATAGATGATTGTCATTATTTTAAGTTGCTAAGTTTGGGGGGTAGTTTGTTATGCAGCAACAGATACCTGGAACACTTAATAAATGTTGGCTTAATTAAGTTGAGCTCAATAAAAGACTTACCTTAACCCCAAAAGCTTTCAAGTAAAACATTTCTATTGGCTTTAGGCCCATTTGGGTTTTGACAAATTTTGGATTTCCCCGAACTTGGATATGGATGGTTATCTGAAAATGGTTCTTCTTTTGGCAAACAAAAGCTTCATCTGCTGGTGAAAAATTAAATCCTTTGTCTATGATAACTCGATAGCCTATATCAGGTCTATAAAAAGAGGAATCAAGAAACCAATTTAACAAACATTTTCTACACATTTTCTTCCATTAACAATACTAATAGTATAAACATTTCAAGAAAATACACTGTGGAAAGTGACTTTTGCTATATTTAATCAATTTTGTGGATTTTTGCTGAGGAAGTGTGCTATTTCAAAACACAGATGGCTCTCTCACAGCATTTTATCTTCTCACAAGGAAGAAGCACAATTCTTGCCAAATGGAAGCATTGTCTCTTCGGCTTCCCTTTCCCTTTGTGCTTTCTAGAATTCTAATTTGACTCCACCATACAACAGAAAGATGTAGGCTAGAAGTTGAGAAGTCACTGCATTACTCAGACCTATGAAATAGCTGGGATAAAATTCGTCTTTTTCTTCCTTTAAAAAAAAAAAGGCTCTAAATGTCATCAGCAACAGCACATTCAAATAGTCCCTCAGATGAGTGAATATTCAGCCTACTGGTGGTTAGAAGAAAAAAGCAGGCTGGTCAAAATTACCAGGAATAGCTTTAAACCAGATTAACTAGAGCCAGTCAGAATACGGATTGAAAACCCATTTTCACCAGAGTTTGGTCATTTCCTTTTTATCCTCCTGCTCTGATAATAGCACTGAAAACCTACTATGCTGGTTACTTCTGCTGAGAACAAAAGTAGTGGGGTGGCTAATCAGACCCTTGCTTTATTTATCCTATCAAATTCGTTCAATATCAAGGCTTTGTGTATCACATATTTAATTAAATACCTTTAAATGTTAATAAAACTAAAACACCTTACCTGTGTAACATTACTGAGTAGAGAAGAGAATATAGAAGGTGAAACTTTTTTAGTGAGCTTTTCCCATACATGTTGTAGATATGGAACATGATTTTTAATTCACCAAGATTCCTAAATGTGGATTTTTCCTCAGGAAAGAAGCTTCTCCTCAGGACCGGAAGCAGAGGAGGGCAGGACTTACTGTGTGTGGTTCTGTGCTTCCTGGGATCTCAATTTGGATGGCGGCCATTATAATGAACAACACTTAAGTTTCTAAATTTTCCTCTAATTCCAGAGACAGAAAATATGAATGAGTCTCTTGGAGAAAAGAGTGTTCATGTTCTTTGCAATTTAAGCACATTCCCAGTGGATCAAGTCACTGGGTCATTGATTACTCCCAAGTAGCTGACTTGTCAAAGCCTCCACGATCATGGTACCTTGCCAGCACCAAAGTCAAGACCATTCACTGAATGAAGGATTTGATAAAGACCACATGTCTTATGTCATCTGGAAACTTCATATTGACTCACGTTTCTAGAACTAATCTTCTAATTTACTCATTTAAAGTCTAGATGAATGGAATCGTATAGATTTTACTGCAGAGGGTAATAAGAACTGTCTTGATGGAGAAAAAAGGAAATATCTTTTTGTGATCTTCATGTTTCACTATCAGAAACTCTGAAGGAAGGAGGTAAGGTTTACAGATCAGATATGAGCATTAGCCTGAAATTTAGAGACAGTTAGAAGCAGAAACAGAATCAACGAACAATTATTATGCAGTTGAAGGTTATTCTGAATCTTAAACACCCATCTCTGGTTATAGAAATCTGTTTACCTAAAAATAGCGATTCTGTTTTTTATATCAAAAGTTATACATAAAATCAACTAAACTGGCTTTTTAAAAGCTCCTTTAACACAAGTTTTCAGTATCACTCAGAAAAAAAAAGTTTTTGATAAATTTTCAACCCCCTAACTTTATTGCTTTTAGGTAATTTAAGGAAACAATATTTTTGTGACAAATTAGACATAATAATCTGAGACAAGTGATTTTCTGTCTCAATGATATGAGTAGTGAAATCAAGACAACCTGAAGTCTAATGTAGATTAATATTGTCTTTTTCTTGCACTTAAGAAAAGTGAATTATGTCTAAGCATTCAAAATAAATCTGCCTCTATACCTTTAAGCTGATACCATCCATGTTCTCCATTTTTTCCAGATCAGTGGAGCTTAGATTGGCTGTTCAAATAAACTTTAAAAAAATCTACTCAAGTAAGAAGAAGGATAAGTTGCCTCAAAAACTTGATCAAGGGTTTCATACCTGGGTACTCATATTAAAGATAGCATATATGGACTACTCCCCAAAAGATAATCAAATGAAGGCTAAGACTCAAAACCAAGACCAGTGGACCCTTCCTTTCTTTTTCTAATTGAACACAGTGGCAAATACACAAAGTTGTCACATTTCAATGAGACAATTAGTAATTTGCTTCATTCTGGTTCCCATTCAACACACCAACTCCCAAAGTCTGTTTAAGTCCTTAGAATTTGTTTTAAGGAAAAGATTTCTTCCTTCTAGTTCAACCAACACGAAAGTCCTAGTGATAAGTTTTGCTCTTAAAGAAGCTATATTTGAATTTGGAAAATACCATGGAAGGCCCTCAAGTTTGTGGATCAACATTTCTCATTTCATATTATATTTATTGCTTGAAAGTCCTATTCTTTAACCATTAACATTTTTTAGATTTTTCAAGAAGGTATTTATAATCTTGAAAATTCTAGAAGACTTAGGTAGGTAAATTATACTCTAAGGAATAAAGAGAAGGCTCTGAGCAATAATACGTAAGTCCACATTGATTTCTTGAAACTATAATATCATAAGATTAGGATGAAAATTTTCCAGTTTAAAGATATTTTGAGTGGTTTCATTTCAGTCTCTAAATTCAAAGCCACCACCAGCTAGGATGGTTGCAGTATGTGTTGACAATAAGCTTGACAATACTGATTCACAGCATAGATATTAGAGGAGGTGGGATGTCACCAGCTAGCAATTTAATGTGGCCCCCAAAACAGTATTCTGTGGAATTTTAAATTAACTGCAGGATTAAATGTTACTGATTTGGGAAATCCCCATTTTCCAGCTCGTAGTTTGAACTGGGTCTATGGTCTCAGAAAGATTCACTCTCCCCTCTATCATTTAGTGGGTAAATTGTAATGAGTCAGAATTACAGTCTGGATTCCAAAAGGCCAGAAACCCATGTCCCAGCTATTCATTAGTTGGAATGCGAAACATAAGGGGTAAGACACACTTCCTCATGGACCCATCCTATTTGATCAGGGGTGGCCCAAATCCTCGGATTTAGTCTTGGGAGTTAACCTGGCCTTTCTTCCCTCACTCCCCAGTACACCACCAGGGGGCCCTGGGACACTTACAGTTTCTCATAATGACCAGTGAATAAACTGTGCCAAGGCACGCTTTGGTATGGCTGCCACTTCAGAGAAGGAGAACACTGGTCGACAGGCGTCATGTTCTGTCCCTCACTGTCGTAGTCTTGCACTTCGCTGCTGAAACTCCTACTTGTCACTGCAAAGAAATCGGTGTGTTAGATCCTCCCTCCAAGGCTGTTTTTCCTAGACTCACAGACAGTTGCATGGAGCAATTGAACTGGCCACGTATGACGTCCTCAGTAGCGTCTCCCCACTTCCAGTCAATGTGTTTCCAGTGAAGTCCACTCCAGCCAGAGGAGGGCACGGGGACCCAGGCTGGATCAGTTCAAGCACAGCATTCGCTACTCGCATCAACAACTGCATCAGGTTGACTCATGGCCCAATCCAATCCAAGCAGAGTGAATCTCAGCACTTCAGGGGACACAGGTTCAAAGATGCTGACTCTCTGCCATGAGCTTTAAACCCGTGAGATACATCCCCAAGGGTTGCTGGCACCACTTGGGGACATGAAGGAAAAGCTTGTCTGGAAATGAAGCCCGCACAGCAGAAGGCAGAGTTGAGGATGAAGGGCACCCCATTCTGATGGCATGATTTGAGTTCTGGGATCCAATTCTAAGCTCTTGGGTGACAGGAGCCAATAAATCCTCCAATTTTGTTTTTTTGTTTGTTTGTTTGCTTGCTTTTTGCTTAAGGCAGTTTGAGGTTTGGGGGGTTGGGGGGGTTTGTCCTTTGTTTCTTTGTTTTTGTTTAATTGCAACCAATACATTCTAATCTGTTACAGGTCCCTCGTGGCACTAGCTTTCTGAACTTAGATGAGCTATTTATTCACTTAGTGTTACTTCCCTCAACTGCAAAATAGAAATTAAAACAGATGTCTTGCCCATCTTGCAACGTTATACAAGCAGAGAGATTATCATAGTACAAGTGAAAGCACTTTCCGCAGCTAACGCCAAGATAAAGCAGCAGAAAATGTCGTAAGTATGTGGTACTGACTATATGAAATTGCTACTGTTCTGTGTTAAAATAACAGCAATTCCACATGCGCAAGCTACTATTTTTGCATAATCCTTGCAAACTGTCTTAATTTGAGTAGGCCTCCAAACCCTGTGATTCAACCTTGGATAATCTTTATGTAAATTCTATTGGTACGTTCTCTGTTTCTCTTTTCTTTTAACTCCCTGACGTCAGGAGTGAAGGGGAAATGGTGGGAGTTCACACGATCAGGAGCGGGCAGAGAGCAGCAACAGAGATATGAGGTGAGCTCCTGGAGAGCGTGCACTTAGCCCACAGCTTGGAAACGGCAGGGTTTCTTTCACTCGTCTAACTTCCTTTCTCTATACTTCCACGGAGGACTTCCTCAAACGAATAAATAACGGAGCTGCTTCGGATTGTCTTTGATCTCAAATGTCAAAGAAAATGTGTTTACCTTGGGGTACCCCTATTACATGTCACCTAAGCAAAACATCGATTTTTCCAGTTTTCGTAAACAACCATTTTGAAAAGATTTCTCAAAATCATGAAAAGCTTTTTCCCAGCTCAGAATACAGGAGGTCAGCAATGCAAGGGCCTCTCCATGCTGTCACTCCTCCAGAAGTTACCAGACCTAGAAACTTCTCAAAACAAACAAACAAACACCTTCCACGGTTCTCCCGCTTATACCAAATTCAGAGAAAGGAAGAAACCAGTTCTCCCATTTTTCCTTCCTCTGTCCTCCCGTGGAGAGAGAGGGTAAAGGAAGCTCGAGAGCTTGGGGTTTGGAATCAATGGGTCTGGGCTTGAGTCTCAGCTCGATGCTTACTAGCTATACCATCTAGGGAAATGGTTTCCGGTCTCGGGGCTTCAGTTTCTTCATCTACACAATGGGAGTAACAGTATGAAACCTCCCAGGGATGGTGAAGGGATTCAACAAGTTACATCTATAAGTGCTTGGCACAGTATCTGTCACCAGGAAGGGTTTAAACAATGGCATGTTTCATTAACGTTGGTGGCACTGTCATCACATGGACTAGTGTCAGCTCAGGTGATGCAGTTTTGTCTAAGAAGCCTTGCGAATACTTCTGTGCTTGGCCTCCATGGTAACGCTCTCTGATGTGAAATAACTAACACCAAGTGCCTGAGTGAATGTCAGCTCACTTGGGCCCTTTCCCACTCATGCATGGTGGCAAGGTCAAGGATAAGAGCAAGTCCTGCTTTTTCCCATTATAGCAGCAAAGGGGTGGGGCAGCCACTCCAACGGGACTGACATAGCCATGGCCTCCCTGGGAGCTGGAGATCAGCTGGTGAGATCCAGAGACCACAGGTCCACGCTGAAATTCCAGGCAAAAGCCTGAGCCCAATACTGGGACCTATTACTAGTCACACTAATAATAACGTCTACTACTCCTGTGTACTTTCTTATTTTATTTTTTTAAAAGATTTTATTTATTTATTTATTTGAGAGAGAAAGAGATCGGGAGAGCATAGACGGAGAGTGAGAAGGAGAAGCAGACTCCCCACTGAGCAGAGAGCCTGATATGGGACTTGATCCCAGGACCCTAGGATCATCCAAAAGCAGACTCTTTACCAAATGAGTCACCCAGGCACCCTCCTGTGTGGACCTCCCCAAGTGCACCAAGACACTTGACATAGTTTCTCATCAACTCTTCAAGGTAAGGATGCCTTTTTTTTTTTTTCAATAAACTTTCTTTACTGAAGTATAATATACATAAAGAAGAATACACATTTCATTGGTACACAATTTGATACTTTCTAATAAAATGAATTATACTGGGTAACTATCACTGGACCAAGAAATAGGACATGTCCACCACTCTAAGAAGACACCCTCATGCCCTCTTCCAGCTACTACTTTCTCCTGCCCAAGACAAATCACTATTCTAAAATCTAATACCATAGAGGAGTTTATAGAAGTGGAATTATATGATATGTATTCTTATGTGTTAGCTTCTTTTCCCCAACATTATGTTTATGGGATTCCCTCATTACTGTTGCAAATGGCAGTCATTTCCTCATTTCCATTACTGCAGGAATATACAATTTATTCTGCCTTTGATGGTCATTTGGGTTATTTTCAGTTTGTGGTTATTATAAGTAACACTGCTATGGATATTTCTGTGCGTGTCTTTTAGTGGGTGTATGTACACATTTCTGCTAGGCATAGTCCCAGCAGTGGAATTACTGGGTTATAGGATATGCATTAGTCGATGCAACCAGACTGATTATAGAGAGGTTATGAGGTCAGGATTCCTAATGTCATTTAACAAATGTGGAAATTGGGGCTCAACCACCTGAAATAACTTGCCCAGTGTCATAGCTATTAAGTGGAAGAGACGGGGTTCAAACCATCCTCTTCCCTTCATGCTACACTGAGGATGTCTTGAGAACATGTAGCAAAAGAGGAATAGAAGTGTGAAGGCAGGAAACTGACCAAGTTCCCACCTTTTGGAAAAACTCATAGCTTGCATTTTAATGTCTTTAAAAATATTCTTTTATATATTACTTTTAAAAAAATCTTAGAAATGGGTGAAGTAGAAATTATGATTCTCATTTGATAATCAAGAAAAGTCACTCTCAGGGGCGCCTGGGTGGTTCAGTCGTTAAGCGTCTGCCTTCGGCTCAGGTCATGGTCCCAGGGTCTTGGGATCGAGCCCCACATCGGGCTCTCTGCTCTGCGGGAAGCCTGCTTCTCCCTCTCCCACTCACCCTGCTTGTGTTTCCTCTCTCTCTGTGTCTTTCTCTCTCTGTCAAATAAATAAATAAAATCTTTAAAAAAAAAAAAAAGAAAGAAAAGAAAAGTCACTCTCAGGGTGCCTCGGTGACGCAGTTGGTTAAGCATCTGATTCTCGGTTTCAGCTCAGGTGGTGACCTCAGGGTCCTGAGATCCAGCCACTCAGCATGGTTTCTGCTTGTCCCCCTCCCTCCCCTTCTGCGCACCACCCACTCCGTGCTCTCTCTCTCTCTCTCTCAATCTCTCTCATATAAATAAATAAATCTTAAAAAAAAAAAAAAAGCCAATCTCAGAAAGTCCCTAGTTGCTGAGGAGATGAGACAAATACTTTTTCTGACTTTACAGTGTGAACTCAGCCAGTGCACCTCTCCCGGGGGCCAAAGACCACAACTCTGGGGCTGAAAAAACCCTTTTATTTTTGAGGTTCAAACCATATGAGTCCATGAACCCTCTTATATTTGGGGTTCAGATCAGATGGAAGCAGGAACGCTCTCATACATGGGGTCTAGACCATGTGGGGCTGGAAACAGCCAGCAGGAGTCTGCCCACCAGCTATTTTCTCTCTAAGCAAGATTTTACATCTGCCCACAGCAACCCAGTGATTCTACATTGTGAGCCTATAAATGGGAATCTTGGAACCTGTGGACAAAGTGAACTGCTTGGGAGAAGGTCACCAGAAAAGCCTTCCTGATTGATGTAGAACCTCTCCTCCCATCAAAATCCCTGCCCAATAAGACTAGCATAAGCTCCTCCTTCCTCCTCCCATGTACCATTTCCCCAGGACCTTTGTAAAAACCCTTGGCCTCTGCCACATCAAATATGACTTCTCTACTAGAAAACTGCTGAAAATATAAACTGTAATGAAAACATAGCATTTGGATTTTTGCCTCCCCAACCCCCCACCCCCACCCCCCCAGCCCTGGGAAGGTGTTCATTTACATTCTGGAACCATTGTCTGGAGCCAATTATTTTTAGTCAGCTTTTCAGTGACCTTTGTCCGAATAGGACTTAAGCAAGGGATTCAAGATTTCCTATCTGTTGAGACATTTCAGTTACTCTACCATGACTTTCTCTGGAGATGGTGAAAAATCAATGTCCTCTCCAGAGACAGGCAGCAGAAAATCATCACAGGTTGGAGCTTAACCCTGAAATGGCCAAGACGATTTGAGCAGCAATCTGGTTTGATGAGGAAATGCTTGGAAGGTTTGGGTGGCTTGCCCAGTTCTCTCAGTGGGCTGGTGCATCTGTGGGAGAGCGAACAGATGGTTCCCTCGTCTGGCTAGGAATTTACTCAGCCTTTTGTGTTTGAGAATCACATAGAAGCTGCAGGCTAGATGTAAGGGTTCTTGAAGAAATTAGAGTACGCTCACATAGGAAGCTGGATGGTGAGCTCTACATTATCCAGAAAGGAGACTTTATTTAGCATTTTCTGTTTCAAGGGTTGGATAAGAAAAAAACCAAGCAACTGTCGGCCAGGGTGGATCCATGCAAAAGAAAAGGAGGCAGTGAGAGGTTTGGTTCATGCGAGGGCTGGATGCCTGGATGCAGTTCCACCACAGCACTCCCAGGGGGCGGCACGTGTGGGCCTTGACTGAAGGACCTTCCAGCCCATGCTGGAGCTGAGGCCAGGCATCCCTGAAAGGACCAGCAGGCTCCACAGGCAAGCACAGAGGACCAGCTCTAATCGTGAGGCTGTGAAAGACAAAGGCAGCAACTCAAGCAGGCGAGGAAGCCACCCGCATCCTTTCAGGGCAGTAGAAAGCCCTGGAGTTTGGGGACAATAGTGGGAAGGGAGCTCCAGAACAGAAATCTGGAATGCCCTGCCAGCTGATGCAGGGTAATAAATGAGATGTACCCTGAATCTGGGCTGCTATTCACACTGCCTGCATCTGATTATTTACAGCAGCTAATAGAGGAGGCATGGAGTATTATCCTTTTGCCTAGTAAGTGTCATAGCATTTATTCTGAAATTCAAGGCTGCAGACTCCAAAACCCCAATTTGTTCACAACTTGAAGAGGTCTCTAAGCTCAAAACATGATGTGTCACCTGTTACATAAGACCAAAAATAAGGTAGTCTGACCCCTTGGGCATTATATGATTCTGCTGAAAGACTTCTAAAATGATCTTACAAAGTCTTAAAGATCTACTTGGGACCTGCTAACTTGAAGCGACTGCTAGGGGAGCTCAACTCTCTACCTTTCTGTTCCACTGGAGAAATCCTCCAAAGTCTGCTTCCATGAGCCGGCAGCCTCAGTAGCACTGGGAGTTTGTTAGCAGTGCAGAACCGCAGGCCCCATCTCAGGCTTACTGAATCAGAACCTGCATTTTACCTAGATCCCTATTTTATCTGTGTGCACCCTCAAGTTGAGAAGGATTGCAGCAGACAAAGCAATAGCACAACAGCAGGCTCTTGAACGTGCTTCCACTGGCCTGGAGCCTGTGTCCTCTGAGACACATTGCCCCTAAAATCGAAAGGACCGGCATTTCATCTCCACCAGCGAGAGAGAATGAGAGAGAGAGAGAGAGAGAGAATGGCGTCTCTTCCTAGGAGCATCTGCATGACTCCACCTAAGACTGCATGAAACAATATGTCAAGAGCAAAGAAAGAAACTCCCAGGGCTTACCCTTGCCCATCTATGAAAGTGAAAATAATTTTGTAGGGCTACTACAAGGCTGGTCAAAATCCCTGACTTAATGGTGAAAGCAGTGACTGGCCCCAGGTTGGCTCACTTGGTCTGGAGTGATGGGCCCACATGTGACAGTCCACGGAGTCCTCCAGCGTCTGTGTGCACTTTCTCTTCTTGGTTGGTGGCAATGAGGCTCTAGAATCAAGAACCCAAAATGAAGGTTAGGAGTTTTTGCTCTCCATGTTACATTAAATCAGATTCAGTTTCCCAGGTCTCTGCTCTCGGCCTTCTTAAGACTTATTGCTGTTGGTTGAGACTCCTTGAGGCCTACTAGTCTGCAATACTACTAGGTTGTACATGAGTGGACAGGACAAGCTCCTATTCCATGAGCCCTACTGGTCTGAAACTTAGCTTTCCAATATCCAATAGATCTGAGATTCACCTACTTGAAAAATAAACTGACAATATTTCCAAAGGCAGAAGACTCACTGAGACAGAGAAGATACGAACTTAAAATATAGTATATACATATATAAAATAGAAGTACATAAAATATGTATACATTTTACACCTGAAATTTTTTTCACATGGAATTTTACCACAATTTTTGAGGACCTTTAATCTTCCTGCCATTCTTTAGATTCAGAAGGAGGAATGAAAGAGAAGAGGAGAAGAGGAAGGAAAACAGAAAAAAAGAAGAATATTAATGCTTAATCAACAAGTATTCTTCTGAGAGCTCATTCACAAATTACTTGCGTATTCTAGCTGAGGCTGCAAATGCAAACAGTGCTTTCTCCATCACTCAGAATGTCCCCATATAGTTCTGACATTTTAACTTTCCATTGAATGAGGACTTTGGGTTTAGTGAGCTTTTAATTCAAAGACCATCTAGAGCCGAGAGCACTGGGGCCTTGCCGTGTTGGATATATGTCTCAACACCGCCATCTCCTGGACAGAACGCCACTGTTCATGCTTTACTGGCACCACGGGGGGGTGCTGGCTGCTCTGGGGTCTTTCATAACTAAATATCTTGCCCTTTACCCAGGGCTGTGGCACAGAGGCTGCTGATGGTAAGGACGGCTTATCCCCAGATGGGAGGACACGCATCGGTCCGGGGGGGTCGTAAGATGCCTGGTGTCTGGGTAGCAGTTGCGAAAGCTGCCGTGGCTGTGGGCAGAGTCCCTCATTTCACACGAGCTCTGTGGCAGGTGTGCAGGGAGCGTCCCAGGAGCAGCTGCCGAGTGGAGAAAAGTAGCAGGAGTCCTCCCGGCTGCGGGTCTCACGGCCGGGCAGCATGCACCTGGGGGAACACACAGGTGAGAAGCGCTCTTTCTGACCAGCCAGTGTCCAAGAAGAGGGGCACGGCAGGATGTGCGGCAGGCAGAGTGCACTCACCTTTGGTCTGTGGAGGAGAACAGGAGTCTGACGCTGAGTAGGGTGGAGTATCTGGGAGCTGCTGCTGCCTGAGGATTAGAGACATACATTGCTTTTGTTGGGACCTGTTCCGTCATTATAGCTTTGTCACAAATGGGAGACTGCTGTGGGTACAACACACACACCATGAGGGGCCAAGACCACCAGATCAAGCCCAGTGTTGTCAAGTAAATAGGCTTTGAGGCAGATCAAACTGGGTTTGGGGCCTGGCTCTTCCACTTCCTAGCTGTGTATCCATGAACAAGACTTCACTCTCTCCAGGCCTCCGTTTCCTCACCTACAACATGGGAGTAGCCATCATGCCTTCCTCCTAGCATCATTGTGAGAATTAAATGAGCTACTGTGTATAAAACCCATAAAATAATGCCCCCAGAGTGCAAGCTCAGTTATAGTTTATATACATACACATAAACATGTATATAGTTTATCATAGTTTAATTAAAAGCATTGTTGCTTCTTAACGTTTTCAAAGCACTTACACCAGAGAGATGGTTGTGCATACTGTTTGGGCTAAAGCCTTATAAAATGTCACCACCAAAGCAACGGTTTTCCATCTGTACACTGGGAAATCCCAAAGCTCTTGGAATGAGCTCAGTGGTTTTACAAAAGAAAAAATTTAAATGCCTGGGGGAAAAAATTCATAACTTTTCCTGTTTTATATATTGAGGTGCAAGTAAAATTTCATTTAAGAAAAAATGAGTACCACTAAAAAAGTGTGAAATTTTCTCTTCCAAAAAACCTGCTCCTTATGGCTCGGAAACTCCATGATTCTAAGGCATTCATTAGCACTACCACCCTCTACTTGATTCTCCTGCTGGAGAGTAAGCGGTCATGTTTTTCTTGATTGATTATGATTTTAACCTCATACAATGAAAAGTCTTTTTTTGTTGTTTACTAGAAAAGTTAGGTTTTCTCCTCAAATTGGCCCTTTATAATTCATTCACTCTTTATGAATAAAGGAAGAGAAAACCTTCCTCCAACAATGCCACCTTCCTCCAAAAACACCACCAAAAATGAAAGTAAAGGAATAAAGAGGCATAAAAGGACATAGAGTACATGTGCAGAGCACACAACAGACTATATTTTAATAACACTGTGGCAGACAGAAGTAGGATGGATGGTAACTGAATTAACAGAATGGAAAAAGCAAAAACAAGACTGCCTGGAGATGGCAGAAGCGACACAGCCAATAAGAAACTATCCAATTTAATACAACTCCCGAAAAGCCCAAGACATTGGAGGCACCAGGAACCTCCGAATCCAGGAGTAAGGTGGAGCTGAAAACAAAAGACTCAACTGATTTGATTAAGGAGGGGCGCCTGGGTGGCTCTGTTAAGCGTCTGCCTTCAGCTCAGGTCATGATCCCAGGGGCCTGGGATCGAGTCCCGTATAGGGCTCCCTGCTCTGCAGGAAGCCCGCTTCTCCCTTTCCCACTCCCCCTGCTTGTGTTCCTCTCATGCTGTCAAATAAATAAATAAAATCTTTAAAAAAAAAAAATCTAAAAAAAAAAAAAAAGAAAGAAAGTCTGATTAAGGAACAGTTAGACCTTTAGATTAGCTTCTTCAACCTGTACAACCCTACAACTACCTCCATCATCCCAACGGAAGTTAGAAAGGTTTACCTCTGGAGAAACAGATTCCAGGGAGATGTAAAGCTACTGAGCTAAAAATGGAAGGATTCATTAGAAGTCCAAATGCTGAACCCCGAGGCCCTTCCTCAATTTGACTTTGCAGGCATCCAAGCAGATTTCCTACAGTAAGAAATTGGAAGATTGTTCCCCAGAAAAATTGAATGTCCTCAAGGGGAAAAATAAGATTTTGAAGTTACCCCCCAAAATGGCCAATCCTTGCTTAACCACTCTATGATGAGACTCATCCTCTGAGAATAATGGTTTGCATACAGAACATCTTAAACAGTAACAAAAGATGAAGGACCAGATATTTCCAGAAACCTTGAACATTAAAGACAAAGAACAAACAACTAGATAAAGAAGGGATGCAAAAAAACCCCACAAAGAGCTCCTCTGCTTCTGATATCACTGGTAAGCTCCTACCAGATTTGACATTTTCATACTGTGAACTCTGCAAAATTAAAAAAAAAAAAATCTGCCTAAAAATACTGGAAAGTGGACAAAAGCAAGAAGGTTCTGGGGGGACACTGAAACTTGGATGAAGGTATTAGCATAAGGTGAGTTACCTGTTTACAACTTTTAGCCTCAGGGCCAGTTGAAAGCAGAACCACAAAACAGCTAAAACTCCAATAGAAACACACAAACTTTCTGACCTGAAGAACCAGAGAACAGAGTTTGGGACAAACAGCTGCTTAAAGTGAAAGGGGAATCTTGGGAAAAAGATATTCAGAGAGGGGAACCCTAGATTCTGTGTAAAAACTCGGGCCAAGAGTCTGACTCCCGAGCCATCAATGTATATGGGGCTGACTGCACACAGTCCAACCAAAAAAAAAACCCCAAGAAACAAAACCCAAAAAACAAAAAAGCAAGATGAACAAACAGACAAAACTGAAATAAAATTTGAGCTACTGCCCAAGAGACAGAGTTTATAATCTGAGTTTAAGAAAAGTAACTGCTTGGTAAAACAGAAGTATATATATTCTTCAGAGAAAAGTAAAAAAAAAATCCAGACATTCACAATGTCCAGAATACAACTAAGGATTACTCAACAAATGAAGAAGCAGGAAAATATGGCCTACCCTTGAGGAAAAGAACAATTAGTGGACACCAACCCAGAGATGATCCAGATATTGGGTTAGTAGATAAATCTAGATTTTAGCTGCAGCTATTATAAAAACAGCTGTTGTAACTAAGTCTAATGGAGTAGAGGATAATGTGTTTGGAAAGAATAAAAAATACAAAACCTCAGCAAAAAATAGAAACTAAAAAAGAACTTAATGGAAATTCTAGAACTGAAAAAAAAATTAGAAATGAAAATAAAAATAGAAAATGAAAAAATCACTGGGTGGTGTAACAGAACTTGAAGACAAATCAATAGGTATAATCCAGTCTAAAGAACAGAGAGGGAAAAATGAATATAAAAAGAGGGAGAGAAAGAGAGATTTGTGAACCGTGGAGAGGATGTAACAGAAAAATAATTAAAGATATAATGACCAAAACCTTCCCAAATTTAGTAAAAGACATAAATTTATAGGTTCAAGAAGCTCAGCAAATGCTAAGTAAGATAAATATAGAGAAAATCACACCTAGGTCATTAGAGTCAAATCAGCAAAAATAAAGAAAATTTTCAAACCAAAGAAAAACAACATATTGCATGTAAGATAATAGTGGTTCAAATGACCAATGACTTCTCATCAAAATCTCCAGAGGTAAGAAGACAGTGCAACAATATCTTTAAAGTGCTAGTGAAAATCAAAACTGACAATCTATAATTTCATATCTGATGAATATATCTTTAAGAATAAAAGCAAAATAAAGACATTGTCAGATTTAAAAAAATTTTAAGTGAAACCATAAACAGACATGCACAATAAGAAATATTAAAGACATTATTTAGGCTAAATGGAAATGATATCAGAGGAAAACTTGAAACTTTAGGAAGGAATGTAGAGAATAAAAATTGTATATATCTGAATGCAAATTGGGTTTTTTTCTTAATTTCTTTAAAATACATAGGACTGTTTAAAGCAAAAAATGTGAAATTATCTTGTAGCATTTATAATGTATGAAGGTGTAATATTTAAGACAGCTATAACACAGAGGGAGTGGGGGATAAAATAGAATTATACAACTGAAGGTTTCTACATTTTACATAAAGTGTACAATATTAATTCATTAAATCTAAGTAGACTGTAAAAAGTTAAATTATGCAAAGAGGTACAGCTAAAGTCAGTAGATAAAATGGAATTCTAAAATTATTCAAATAATTCAAAATAAAGTAAAAAGGAGTTACAAAGAAGAAATAGGATAAAAAGAAGACAAATAATATAATGGCAGAATTAAATACATTATCAATGATTACATTAAATGTTAATGGACTAAAACTCCAATAAAAGGCAGAGATTGTAAGAATGGATTTTTAAAAATAAGACCAACTATACATTGCCTGCAAGAAACACTTTATATATAAAGACTCAGATAAGTTGAAAACTAATGGAGAAAAAAGGTATTAGCAGGCAGAAGTGATTTCATGAATAACAGGTAAAATAGGGCGCCTGGGTGGCTCAGTCATCAAGCGTCTGCCTTCGGCTCGGGTCATGATCCCAGGGTCCTGGGATCAAACCCTGCATCGGGCTCCCTGCTCCACGGGAGGCCCGCTTCTCCCTCTCCTACTCCCCCTGCTTGTGTTCCCTCTCTCACTCTCTCTCTCTCTGTCAAATAAATAAATAAAATCTTAAAAAAAATAGGTAAAATAGACTTCAAAATAAAGAGTATTACTAAAAATAAAGAGGCTCATTCCATAGTAATAACAGTCCTTTCATTAAGAAGGCATAGCAATCATGATTGTTTATATATCAAATAACAGAATTTCAAAATACATGAAGCAGAACTGACAGAATTAAAAGGAGAAATAAATAATTGTATGGTCCTAGTTGGAGATTTTAACATCCCTCTTTCATCAATTGATAGAACAAAATATGTAGTACAAATTGATAGAATAAAAAAGTCAGTAACGACAAAGATTACCTGAGAAATTAGGAAGAAAAGGAACTGATGTGTTTTAATACTGAGAAGAATTTTGCAGTTCCCTTCAGAGAATTTGAGGGAAGAATTAATGACAGTTACATTCAAAGCCAAGAAAATCATGAAAAGAAGGCTATGGTTCAAGAAAAACAATAAGATCAAGAAAGAAAATATAATCATAATAAATTGTATGAGAATACCTAATGATAATAATGTAAGCCCTGGATACTGACCTAAGCAAAAATTTTTCTAGAACTTTATGATATTGGGAGGCTGGTGCTAGAAGTGGGTGTCAGATGTAGTTTAAGAAAGTTAAATCCTCCCTAAAGATGATATTAAGTTCTTAAAATAGATAAAGAAGGAAGAGCATAAAAC